GCCCCCGGCCGCCTCACGGGCTCCCCCCGCAGCCGCCGGCACGGCCGCCTCGCCGAAGCGGTGTCGAGGGGCGGCCGAGGCCGGAGTGGGCCTCCGGCTCCTGCGGTTCGGGGAAGCAGCAGAGACATTTCCCCAGGGTGGGGACACCCCCCGGTTCGTCCCGGCTGCCGGCGCAAGGCGCGCCGGCCCTGCCCGTCCCGGAGCTCTCGCAGAGCTGCGGCCTGTGCTCCCCGGGACGTGGGCCCTGCCCCACCGCAGGGCAGGTCCCGTTTCTCTCCCGTTTCAGTACGGGGTGTGGAGGTGTGGGTATGGCCCTTTCATCCCGGTAGCAAAGTTGTGCAGCGCGATTTAGGGGAAGTGGTTTGAATGTTGCCGTCCAGGCAGTGTCAGGGCTGGTTTGTGTGGGTGTTGGTGGAGGCCGTTTCAGCCCGGGCAGTGCTGCTCGCCAGGGACTGCTGTGCGTCCGAGAGGGCCTTCTGCAGTAATTTCATGATTCATTTCCACCCCCTGGGTGAGGGTTGGTGTTTGGTTTGTTCACGTTTTGTTTTTTTTTTTTTTTGAGGGGGGGGTGTTAAGCTGTTTCCTGGCTTCTTTATATCTCTGTTTACACCAGAAATTAAAACTTTGACTTTAAAAAGTGGAATGATTAAATTGTGTGGATCCTGTCACAGAAGCCCCTTGTGCAAACTACTGATGAGACAATAGTAGTCTCATGAAACAACTCAGAATTATACCAACTTTACTGGCTGCTTGGTACCGTGACAGTACTTTTGTTAGTCTTGGTGCAGTCTTCCTGCCTGCCTCTCCTGTGGCCTGCTCCCTCCTCTTCCTCCCCCAAGCAGGTGGAACGCTGCTTGCACAGTTTCTGTAGTGGTGAGCAAAGAGTGGTCTGTGTCCGTCACCAGCAGAGCACCTGATTAAGGAGATGCAGTACTATGTAGGGATTATCTCTGGTTATCTCCTTATACCGAAGGAAAAGGGAGTCCAAATGCTGTCTTGATTTGCAGTCTCTTGTCATGAAATGATGTTTTCCAGAGGGATCCCTTCTTTCCCTGCATACCTAATGAGAGATGAGTAGGAAATAATAAGAAAGACCCAAAAGTGAATCTTCACACTCCCCTTTCCTGGAGGCTTAATAGTATTCTGGTACTCTGAAAATATGCAGATTTTATTTTCATTGGAAGAATTAAAAAAAAAAATCCATATTTTACAAACATTTGGTGGCAGATCTGATCTGTCGAATTTTGTTATTTTAGAAAAATGTTGTGACGTTCTTTAGGTATTCCGTTTGATCTGCTTGTGTTCCTTAGAACTGCCTGTAGTTTGTTTTTTCCTTGTCAGAAGCTATTGTGCATAACCGAAGAGTCCAGTTCCAGAAAGAGTCCCCAAAGTACACATTTAATATAAATGCGGTAGGACTTGCTGCACTGCTTTACTTTTGTGATAATTCTAGTTTTAGTTGGAGCTTTACTTTCTTAATTTTGCTCTACACAGTGCCCACAACTCTACTTCACTCTTAGTTTTTGTTTCATCATTTCTTTGGAGCAGATGTTGTAGTAGGAGTCTACTATAGGCCACCCACCCAGGACAGAGAGGTGGGTGAAATATTCTACAACTGTTTAAGAGAAATCTCACAATTGCTTGCCCTTGTTCTTAAAGTGGGAGACTTTAACTTCCCAGACATCTGCTGGAAATCGAACGCAGCAGAGCAGGCCCAGTTCTGGAGATTCCTGGAATGTGTGGCAGATAACTGCCTGACACAGCTGGTGAGTGAACTGACCAGACAAGGTGCCCTGCTTGGACCTCTTCTTTGTGAACAGGGAAGGACTGGTGGGTGGGTGATGTAGCAGTTGGAGGCCGACTAGGGCACAGTGATCTCTATTCTTAGAGAGGCCAGGAGAGGGCTAAGCAGAACTGACATCCTGGACTTTTACTTGTTTGGGCACTGGCTTGAGAGGATTTCTTAGGAGATGGTCCTGAAGGGTATAGGGGTCCAGATGTAAATGGTATTTCTGCTGAGACAGAGTGTAATGCTGGTAACCAAACCTTGTGCAATTTTGTGTGGGAGGTGGCATTGTTTTGCTTAGCAGCTCCAATAATGATTGGGACAGGTCTCATGGAGTTTGATTCTACTCCATTCTGTGGTAAAGAAGAATGTTGACTATGGTACTAAAGGATCAAAGCCTTGCACCTACTATTGAAGCTTTTGAATTTGTAAATATATACACATATAATCCCAAAATTACATGGACTTGCGAGGGCTAAACTTATGCATGAAGTACAGTGTATATATATGAATCTGAAACCACAATCCTGCTGGGAGTCTGTAATTAGTTGGTAATGGTGTTCCGCACACTTTAGTAAAAGTGACTGACGTAAGGATAACTAACTTGCAAAATAACAAAATCATTATTAAAATATTTTTTCAATAATTCTGTAGTTGCAATGGAACATCTAAAACTAGCTCAAGGGCTTTTGTAGTCTCATTAGCATTTATCTGAAGGTCCATGTGTTTTAGTATAATACAATCAAATCATTCTTACATTCAGTTTATAATGAAGCGGTTATGATTGTTACCTTCACCGTCACAAGAAAATCTAATCGTTAGTAACAATCCCTTATACAGAAATGTGAAAAAACCAACTTTCCTCTTTTTCTTTCAGTTGTTCCACTGTGGGCCAGATGTACTTCATCAAAACAGCAATTTACCGCGAGCTGCGTTTTTTTCACCTCTTCAAAAAGTGATGTTGCCACCAAATACCTTTCAAGGGAAAGTGGCCTTTATAACTGGTGGAGGTACTGGGATTGGCAAGGGGATGACAACAGCTTTGTCCAGTTTAGGTGCCAAGTGTGTTATAGCAAGCCGGTAAATATTAATGAAGACGTTCTAGAGCTTTCATTTAGAACTGAATGCTGAATAGATCTGTTTTCTGCTTCATCATGGATCTTGTTTTCTCCTTCACAAAATGGATAAATTTATTCTATTTACTATATTTCAGTACACTTTTAACGTCATATTGTAAATACCAGAAACTTGCAGATCCACCTACAAGTGTCTAATGGTGTAAACAGCAGTAGGAAGAAATAAACTAAACACATTTCCATGAAAAAGTAAACCCAGTGTATTAGACATAAATTCAAATAAAGCCTGAAAGAGAACACAGAATTGAAATAGCCGTTGTTGAACATTTTGAATGTGTTATTGCAGATGTTCTTGACACATGTTTGAAATGCAGTAAAGAATTAAAGCCATTCCTCTCAATTCTTACGACTTTAAAAGCAGCCCCGATTTTTCCTTTAACAAAGGTGATCTTTATATAGTTCTCTTAAGTAGCACTACAATAAAGAACAGAAAAACAATCTAATTTTTAATCAAAATAAACAAGTGTTGTGACATTCGTCCGTATAGGGGTTTAGATCGTTTTAAATCTGAATATGCATGTCTCTTCTAAAATACTAGTAGACTAGTAGCTAAAACTAAGTTTGTTATGGTTATGTATTTGGAATGAAAATATTTTTTCTAGCTTACCATGTTTGAGTAGTCAGTTGTGTGTTGCTTTGAAGGAGCAGAAACCAGAAATTACTTAGATTTAAATAGGTTTTGTTCAGAAAGTTATGACTAAATATAGTTTTTATCTTAAAGCTCAGTTTTCACAAAAGTCAGCAAAACACATGCACACATACACATATTAAATGATATTTTAAGGTTTAGCTCATAATTTGCTCAGAAAAATCACCAGATTTTATTAATCTGAATTGTACTTGTATTTAATTGAAATTTAGTGACTTTCTGTACTTATTTCTAGGAAGCTCGATGTTTTGAAAGGCACAGCAGAAGAAATTTCTTCTAAAACAGGGAATAAGGTAAAGTTTTACAGAACTGTGAATATGTTTTTATACTTCACATGGTTACAGGATTTTTAGGCATTTGTGTGTTTCTCTGGGCTTGTTTAATTTATGAGTGATATGGATTTTAAGTCTTATATCTGCCTTTCCATTATTACATAGGTTTGTGCCATCCAGTGTGATGTGAGAGATCCGGTTTCAGTTAAGAATGCTGTTGCTGAAATGATCCAAGTGGTGGGACATCCTGATGTAAGTGTTCTAGTGACAGTGTTTCAGTCTTCATTACTGAAAATATTCTGAGTAGTAGGTATGAAGAAAATTACTATGATAGAAAGTAGATGGAATCTAAAGAGACACTGGACAAAAGGGGGCTATACATCAAGATAAAGCTAACATTCACAGTTAGACTGGTTACTCTATTCTTGTGGTTCTTAAAATACTTAGTGGCCAAATAGATTAAATGGTGGTGTCCTTACTCTAAGGACTAACAGTTTCTTCGTAAACAGTGAGACAGTTATGATGGGATTCTTTGAGTTAAGTCAACAGAATATTGCCCTTAAATCCTCCTGAAAAGATGTCTTACCTGTGTTGGTACTGTGTTGGCCTGTTGCTTATTTAACTTAATGTTTCACAAATTAGAAACGGAAGTAATCATAAATGTCTTCTTTGGCCCTTGCTCAGCTTATTAAAATACACAAGGAAGGTTCCAACAAAGTTCTCAGAAAAATCTTCAGTCAAGCTAAGGATCTAGTTTTTAACCATTTGTCACAAAATAGAGAGCTCTTTACATCAGACTTGCTTTGAGAAGGATGGTCTGGTGGAGTCTGAACAATGATAGGCACTAAACTCTGATTTGATCATGAGAGAAACAACTCAGATTCTGCTAGCTGATAGAAAGCGTGATGAGGGTGTTAACATCGATATAAAGGATAGTCAGATTTAAACTGTTTACTGTAGATTTAAAACTCTGATCAGTGAATTGTAGACACTTTGCATTCACCAATAGCTTTGTATAGACATGGAAGAGACTGGTAAGAAGTGGAGAAACTATTTCTCACAGCTGTATGCTGTAACAGATCACTGTCTTGATTTGTAGACAAGATATTCTGGATATTGACTACTGCAGTTTTTGACCAAAGCACATTACAGTCTCCAGGTTTTAAGTGTGTACAGAGAGGGAGGAGCCTTCTTTCTATATATTACATTTTAATTACACCTGTAATTTTCTGAATAAATACTTCCCATGACTTGTTCTTTACAAGCATTTCCTTTCTCTTTAGTTTCACTTACTCTCTGTGTGTAAGAGACACTACAAAGTAAATTGAATATTCAGTTCTTTTTGGCCAATTTTTTTCTTAGTGACAGACATAAGTTTATCAACACTGCAAGCCTGGGTATCAGTGCCACTGTGTGTGTGAGGTGGTGTCCTGGTTCAGCTAGGATAGGGTTAAGTTTCCCCAGCAAGGGAAAGGGATCTTCAGCCGGGTTATTCATTGATGTCAGGTCCGGCATGGCAGCGCGGGAAGCTTTCCTTGGTGGCTTTGGTCACGGGAAGCACGCGCGGTGGGCTGGCTGTGTCACTGCGGTATTTCTCTGTATATCTTTTGTTTACTGTTATTACTGTTTGTTGTTGTTATTATTGCTATTGTTGTTGTTCAGATGGCTTATTACACTGTTGTATTCAATTTCTCCTTATTTTAACCCGGGGTTTGTGCCCTACTTGTGTCCGAGGGTGGGGGAGGGACAACGGCAATGTGGTCTCCAGTCCCGGCAGGGCCTAAACCAGCACAGGTGGGATCTCAAAGATAGAAGTTAATGGCATTATCATATTCTTTCTAGCTTTGTTTTGTTCATTCTGTTCCCAAGACTGTTTCTCCCAGTTAGAAAGCAATCATTCTTTTGTCTCATGGATTGTTTTGAAAGTCATACATATCTGCATACCTCAAAGACGGTATCATGCAGTCCTTGAATCACTAGTTTTATTATTGTGTCTTTGCTATATTTATTCAGTGATGCAAATAACCTCAGTATCGAGGTATTTGGATTTTTTTTGCTTTAAACTGTAGGGAGGCCTTTAAATTCTATTTGCTATCTATATGTATAATTTATGGCTGTTGTATTTTGGTTTTGTTATATTCATGCAATATGTGCTGTGTTATATTTTGCTACTGAAAATTCTAATGTCTTTAGCCCAGAAGTTCTTCAGGACAAAGACTTTGTTTTATGTGCAAACCTATGTGAATTTAGGTGCCATTTTATAAGTAATACACTATTTTATTGCTTCAGCACATTGTATTATTAAATACACAAGAAGTGGCCATGTAAGTTTTGGGTTAAAAATTGCTTATGTGATGCTTAGTGCCCTTAAAAAAGGTATCTAACTTGCTAGCTTGAGGGGCTAAGCAGATGATATATTGAAAGTATCCTCTGCCTAATTATTTGGAGAAAGGCAACAAGTGACAGATACACATCCATTTGAAAAAACTTTTGTATTAGTTGCTTGCAGTTCACTAAATCATAATCTTCTCTTTGTCACAACTGCTTAGACTTCTTCTTATGCAACAGTGAGCTACTCCAGACTTAGTCATCAGGTTACATCTTTTGCTTTAATTCCCATGCATCTCTTACTTTAAATATGATACGTGACCTTGGAGCTTGGTGGGGACCAACTTTTCTGTGAGGATGCACTTGAGACATTATGGAGAATAGCAACTTAAGTCACCCACTAAATTTGCAGTTCCTCAGTACTAGACTGAGCAGTTTAGAAATACAGCTCATTTTCTGCTAGTGATACATATCTGTGCTGCAAATGTTAAAATTTCTGATGGATTATTTTCTCTCTCTCTCTTTCACCACCTTCCTGCCCTGTGCCTCATTTGACTTTTCTATTTTTTCACTTTTTCTATTTTTACTTGGAAACACTGAGAAGTTCCTTGTTAAATCTTTTCTCTTAAGAAGAGTTATTTTTAATGAACTCTTAAGTTTTCCTTCCTGTGTTTCAGATTGTGATAAACAATGCAGCTGGAAACTTTATTTCCCCTTCTGAACGCCTTTCTGCTAATGCATGGAAAACAATAACTGATATTGTGCTTAATGGTACTGCTTTTGTAACTCTGGAAATTGGAAAGGAGCTCATCAAAGTACGAAAAGGTATCTTAAGACAAATGGTAACTAAGCATTGTGGCATAGTATTATTACTTGCTTTCCTTGCCTTATTGTTATAGCTAATTTTGAAAGAAACACAATTCTTAACATTCTAAATCTTTTCTAGAAATAAACTTTATTTTTGGTAAAGCTATACTTAAATACCACATGGTAGGAATGGCTAGCAATTCTTTGTAGAATCTACCCTTAAAATTGGACCCAGAGGCCATGAGGTTGAATGTAAAACTGAATGCAGTGTTTGTACTAGTTGTAAGGCTTTGTTTAAAACATATGCTGTTATTTCTTTTGAGTCGTCTGTATCTGTGTGGGTTTCATTGAGCAACTGAACATGTGGCATTTATTTAAATGAACAGCAAGTCAGGATATCACTTTGATTTTTTTCCTTTTACACTTAAATAAAAATCACAACTGTGGTATTTGACTAATAACACTAGAGAATATTACTGTTGATATAATTTGAATAAGGATTTCAAAACTTAAATCAGTGTTACATGTTATTTTCCCAAGTATGGTTCTTAGTTCTAGACAACCTAGGAGTTTAATCCAGTATTTTAGCTTTACCTTAAAAGATATGGTAGTTCTTTGATACACTATTTATCCAAAGATCTCCTTCACCAGATTATTGTCTTTAGGGGAAATGTAATGTATGCCTTTCTATGTTATATCATAGATTATATACAAAGAACTACTTTCATTTTACATTGTCTTCTGATTATAAATTGAAAAACATTGTGCTTATTTTTTTATGAGAATGGTACCATCTCAAGTAGGTTTTAAAAGCAGTGAAGTATATTATGATTTCCCATGAATCCTGCTTTCTAGGTACAGCCACTGTGTTGGAATAATCCTTTTGGTTTTGCACTGTATTTCTCTTAACTCCTGAATTAGTTGAATTTCTTCAAAACTCTTCTCTAAAAAGTCCTCAGTGTGTTCATACTATTTAATGATAGAAATACCAAATTAATCTTTTAGTAAGTCTGTAACAATTTTGGTCAGTTGACAAGGTATTTCCCACATATATTTTTAGTAGCACATGAAAAAATAATTTCTACTCTTCTAGTGCTAATACTACCACATGAAAAATCCATCCAACTCTGACTTACTATGTCATTATAGCAAACCATTGTAATAGTTTGCTTTATGGCCTTCCAGATGCATGCGGTGTCTCCCTATAGTAATGTGAAATATGGCTTTAAAAATGCCTTTGTCTCTGCAGTTGTTGAATGAGAAACTACTTTCTTTGCTTCCACCCTCAAATTCAGCAAAATCTGGAAGTCATTTACCTTCATGTTGTCTGTCTTCCTCTCACACCTAAGCTTCCAAAACACATGAGTTTCTTTTGCTGTTATTTGCATACCTTCTTTCTAGGGGATTCCATCTATAAGTAAGACGTTTTACTTAAAGCTTTCTTTAAGATATGTTTTTGCATGTAAATGAAGTGTACATGTTTGTCCTCTCATTCTTCACCTCATTTTCTTTTTACTTGCTTGTTTTTTTTAAGTTAGAGCAGAGACTTTAGTTTCTGAAGTGATGGAGATGCTACCCAATGCAGATATTGTAGAACAGCCAGTGAGGATGCTATACTTCTGACAGTTAAGAGAACACTGACATGTTTTAGGTCCGCAGCATGACCTACATTAAACCTAATTTAGTAAATAATAAAAGTGCTATGGTTTTAGACTCTTAAGTTTTTACTAATATTTAAAGGTATTTCTAATCTAATGCATTATTAATTTATCCACTAAAAATTTTACAAAATGAGGAGTTAATTGGTTAGATATTGTCCATTTTATGAATATAAGATTTAGAAATAAAAATGGTGTATGAACTGAAGTGTACTTTAAACTTCAGAGCTGTAAATTTTATCATTCTTGCTTCTGTGTTAGGTTCACTCAACTCAACCTGTATTTTAAAAATTCTGTTGTTTAATTCTGCGAAATGTGTAATTAACCATCAACTGGAGATAACTTCAAAGTTGTTCTGTGTTTTTTGCCTGTGTTGATTTTTTTTCTTTTCAAAGTCTCTCACTGTAAACTACTTTTTGTAAATAGGGTCCATGGTTTCTGCATATCTGCTGACACTTCTGTCAGTGCTTGTTTATGATTCTCTTTAGTTTCTCTTGTGTAACATTACTGTAATTTTTTAACTGAGTCTCTACTTTGTCACATACATTCTATCAGTAATGTATATTGTTTTAGAAATATCCCTTGGGTAGCTATTCTCATTAAATTATTTTTAAAATACAGTAAGTAGAACAGTTATTTTCGTTAGTGTGGCGTAAGTAGTGAACTGTTGTCCCTTGTCCTCCATTTCCCAGTTACAGTAAGTTTACACTAGTCATTGATCAGACAATGAGAATATGCAGGCTTCTATAAAAGACAGATTAAATAAACAGTTGCAGTTTTCATTATTTTCCATAATGTTTTTGCTAAGTCGTTATAAAAGAAAGCAGTTTTTTTATAATACAGTTTGTTGTGACAATAATGGGGAAAAGTTATGCAGGTTAACTTTATCGTAAGCTCTACTGTAGAAAAAACTTCTGAAAACTTCTTAAGAGAACTTTTTTTTTTTTCTGTATGAACTTCAGATCAAGCCCTAAACTATGTCATTTTAAGATTATGTCAAACCTAATTGTTAATGCTGATTTTTTTTTTTCTTTTTTTTTTTTCCTTTTTTTCAGCCAGAAATTGATTAAATCAGGGTAGATTACTTGGTTAGTGACTACTAGGCTAAAAAGGCACTGTAAGGTCTTAGGCCTTCAGTTAGATTGATTTGCACATGTAAATTCATTATCAGTCAAAGTCTGAGGGTTTAGCCTTTGGTGCCTAATCAATAGCTATTTACACTTACATGGAACAACTCAACATTCATGGAAGAGAGGGAACTGAAATAAAAAGGCTTGAAAGCAAACCTTCCAAGACTGGATCTTTAAAGTATCTTTCTACAACCCAGAGTGAAAAAACATCCCTAACACTTGAGCTGCAAACTTCTATACCCCTGAGTGTACCTTAAGTTTGGAGTTTCACCTTCATGCGGTTTTTGTTTGTTTGCTGTGGGTTTTTTTTAAATGTTTTTGCAACTTTCAGGAGCGGCATTCCTGGCTATTACAACAGTTTATGCAGAGACTGGTTCAGGATTTGTGTTGCCAAGTGCCTCTGCCAAAGCTGGTGTAGAAGCAATGAGCAAGTGAGTAATATAGTAGAATGTGTGTTTTGCTTTTCCTGTCCTTGAGATAGGGTAGTTGGTCCATAAAAATGGAGCTAGCTGGTATAGTCCTCCTATTCTACTGTATTATAAGAGAACCTTCCAGCCTCCAGTATCCTAAGAATAAAATAGTATGCTGACATCTTGTAGAAAGAAATACTAATTGCTATTGTTGCAATGATTTACGATGTACCTTTATTTAAAGGGTGACTACAAGGAATACGGAGACTCCCTTTTTACAAGGAGTAACATGGAAAAGACAAGGGGTAATGGGTACAAGTTACTTGTGGGAAGATCCAGTTGGGCACAAGAGGAAAATTTTTCAGTGAGAACAATCAGCCACGGGAATAATCTCCCCAGAGAAGTGGTGGGTTCTCCATTATTGGACATTCAAGGTTCAGCTGGACAGGGTGCTGGGCTATCTTGTCTAGACCGTGCTTTTGCCAAGAAAGGTTGGACCAGATGATCCTTGAGGTCCCTTCCAACCTGGTATTCTATATTTCCTGTGATTCTATACTACTATTGCCAGTGACAAATTCTAAAGTTTCAGTACAGAGTTTCAATAATGAAATTCTCTTTCATTCTCATGGGCAAACCAGCACTGAAAGTCAGTTATTAGGGGAACTGTTCAAGCTCTATAGTGCCTTTCACTTTCTTTTGTCTCAGGAAAAGATGTGCTTGTTTTGGGGTGGATTATGCTGTTCCTTCATCTATCTAATAAAGAATTGTGTTTCCTATTACTACTTTAAATTAAGGTCTTCAGTTATACTTATTTCAGAACAGTATTGTGATATATCCATGTTATTCAGTAAACAAAAGGACTTCTATCATTAACTGTAGGACAGTTCTTCATAGCAAATAGATCCTCCTCTGCACTTCGACAGAAGGAATTTAATGGTTTCACAGCCTTTTAGTAACCAGAATTCTTTATCCAGAAAAAAAAAGAGGGAATGAATGATAATCTTGATTTCTGTTCTTTAGAGCTGTAGCTGAAGTGTGTACTTTTCAGAGACTTTGTCTCAGCTAATTCATTCACTGTAGTAGGTCATCGTACTGCTTATGCAAAGAAAATGTTGCCACAAAGCTAAATTATTCCACTGCTCCCATTTTTGAATGTAACCTCTATTTTGTGTTATTTCAAAACATCTAATGTGAGAGCTAAGTCACGTTAGAAATGTATACTTGTGGGATAATCTAAATTACTGGAGGTGGTGGCCTAACAGTTGTTTATCAAGGAGTTCAGGTGCCAAAATAATCTCTGTGATTTGTGAAGGAGAAAGAATTGCTCCTTAATATTGCTTTATCTGTGATGCATCTATTAAGTCAGTATTCCTCTGTGCACATTTTTTTTTTTTTTTCTTCTCTGAAATGCTTTTGTTAAGAACAAAAAAACCCCTTAAGTAGAAATGCCTGTTTCAGGAAAATTCTAGTACATACATATTTGATTCAGTTTTAAATAATTTGCTGAACATCATTATTAAAATACTATGTTTAAAATATTGATGCATTCTGTTAATGAATTTTTAGGTCTCTTGCGGCTGAATGGGGTAAATATGGCATGAGATTCAATGTGATTCAACCAGGTCCAATAAAAACAAAGGTACATAACATGAAAGTACAGACTTAATCTTAAGATAGTCTAACATTTTCTATAACTGTTAAATTTGAGTATGATTCCCTTGGTAGTCAAGACTGTGCTGAAATATTGAACACACTACCTGTCAGTTCTTTTTTAAAATAGAACTTGAACTTGTGAAACCTGTCACTGCTGCTTCTACTACACTAATATAAATGAAACCTTTTTTAAAGTGTTTCAAAGCAATGATACATCAAAATATTTAATGTTGATTCTTATCAACTGTATGTACCTAGTTTGTCAAGTGAAGTGAATCCTTGCACTTGGTAGAGTAAAAGTGCCTATTTCTGCCTGAGCTCTAATTTCTAAACAAAACATCTCATCCGTTCCAAAATTTCAGAATCTTTTTTAGGTATATGAGAACAGAATCTCAGTAGTTTTGTTGAAAATCACAAAACTAGAAAGAGAAAAACAAGCAAGAAAATGTGAAGCTTTGATATGAGTGAAAAGGAGAACTGGAGGATTTGAAGGAAGTAATCCAGACCAGCTGGAACAGGAAGAAAAAAGAAAATAGTCCTGCAAGAAGAGAGAGGAGGATACGTTTCACATTGAATCAAAATATTACAATTATGAGCAGTAACAGCTAATAATGGTATCACTACTACCTATAAAATGTTTCACAGTTGGTTTTGCTGCTGTTTTGGGGGTAGGGGTGCAGGGTTGTTTGTTTTTGTTTTTTTTTCTCGGTGCTATTAGATGCTACACTTGACAATTCAGTTTTACCTTTTTTGACTGTAAAGAAAGGTAAGTGACAGTATCAGTAGGGTTATAAGAATGTTGAAACAACATACAGTATCAGACCAGAAGTCGTCCAGTCTTTGTATCTGGTGGATTTTTAGACAGGAGTAGAAGAAAAATATTTAATGACGTTTCTTCTTCATATCTCCAGCCTCTGGCAATCTGTGGCTCGGAGTTTGATACAGTTGTTATCTTTTCATATTCTAATCATCTTGATGGATTTTTTTTTTTTCTTTCATTAGTTTGTCCTGTTCCTTTTGAATCCATATAAACTTTTGGCATCCATTGTATCATGTGGCAAGATCCCTTTGGTTTATATATTGTCCTAATTTTTGGCAAGCTCACAGCTTTCCATGTCAATATTGCTACGTCCCATTAATGTTTCTGTTTTAAACTAATAGTGTATATCCCACTTGAGATACTGTGTGTTCTTAATAAAGTACTACATTTGTTGCACTGGTTCCAAGATAAAATTTCCCTGAAAGCATGAAAAGGCAGATTGTGTTTACTTAAAACAGCATATTGCAAAATCAAGGCTTTTTCTGCCTTAGGGGCTGCATCCATGTCTTTAAAAAAAACTATTGTAAGTCATGATAGGAAAAGGAAAAAAAGTGTACAAGCACAATACCATTAAGCTTATAAACTGGCATTTAAAAACATGGCAATGGAAGACTTAAATGGTGTGAGTACAGCCATGTTTACATAAACTACAGTGTGCTTTAACTTTCATAACTTCAGTAAATAAATGTTACATATACGTTTCTGATTTTGCCTGAGGAGGTTGTTTCCTTGTGGAGGAGCAGGAGGAACAAAAAAACCCTCTTCAATTTCCCACGCCATTTTAAGCTATTCAAATACTAAAACTTCCAGTGACTTAGTTTAGTTCAAGCCATTGCTGCAGTTTAACTGAACTTGATTTTTTTTTTTTCCTTTTCAGTTTTACTTACTCATGTATAATTTATTTCTGTCACTTCCAGCTTCTCTCTCCCCTTACTCTTCTTCCCTGTCTGTGCAGCAATTTCAAGTCTTGCTTATTTCCTCAAATGTTTATCAAGGCTGTTTGTGAAACAACAGATTATTAACCCCTTTTATTTTTCATAGATAGATGGTGGGTGACTATTCCAAATGTCTTAAATTTCAGTTTATCCTCAGTAGATGCGTATCGGTGCAACAGGGATAAATTGTTTTCTGTTACCTACTTTCTTCTTTTTCATCCTACTGACAGAGAGGAAGTGGACAGTTTACTCACAAATGTTAACTCCATACTGTTTATGCAGAGTCAGATCTCTCTTGGATTTTAATTTCTGATGTAGTTATAACTTCTGCTTTTTAAAAATGTTTCTTAATTCTCAGGGTGCTTTTAGCCGCCTTGACCCAACAGGGTCATTTGAGGAGAAAATGATTGAGAGGATTCCCTGCGGTCGTCTGGGAACTGTAGAAGAAATTGCAAATCTTGCTGCCTATTTCTGCAGTGACTATGCAAGCTGGGTTAATGGAGCAGTAAGTTTTACTTGATCTTGTTTATGCAATTAACCTGATAGTGGTCTGAGTTTTGCTGGTATTTTTTAAAGCCCTGGTTTCAGAAGTGAAACAAGCCTTTTGGAAATTTACAAGCATTACTAACCTTTTGATTGCAATGCATAGTAGTTACTACCTTTTAAAAAGAACTAAAAGTGATTGAATTACATTCTTCTGAGTATGGGTTTTTCTGATCCAAACCAATAAAAACTACTTTCACAGTTCATAACAAGGGAATGCTACAGAAACCCCATATTATTAAATGCACTGCTTATGCTTTTTCTAGGTTATTAGAATGGATGGTGGAGAATATGTTTCTATGGCAGGAGAATTCAACGATTTGAAAACGGTATTAAATTTCTTGCTTGCTGTTTTACATTCAAATACTTAGATGTGTAATTATTATATGGAATTCCAACAAAATGCTCTTTTCTCTTGTTAGGTTACTGAAGAGCAGTGGGATGTGATAGAAGCAATGATTAGAAAAACAAAAGGCTCCTAAAGTATGCAACTGTATGGTGGAGATTTTTGGAAATGAACCACTACTTTTCATGAATATTTTGAAATAACCAGTTGGGAACTTGACTTCAAAATCTTTTGTGTGCTAATTTCAATAAAGTATTTTGAAATTATCATATTCTGAATATAGCATGTATATTTTTCCTATTTACAGTCTAATCTGTTGCTAATAGTGAACAGCAGTTGTTCACTGAAATTTTGTTGTTCTTTAGGTTATGTCTTACATAGCTATGCTGTGGTCTACAGTTAGTTTTTAAAATAATATTTCAGAGGATTTTTTTTGTTTCTCAGATATGTGCAAGTGTCTCTTAATGCTATAATTCCAGTAGCATTTCAGGACTATCATAACTGAATGTTCATTTGAGGAAAAACTTAAGAAATTAAGTCCTAATCTTCACACTACAGTAGAAAGTCCTAAACTTGCAGTAAACTTGGTCTCATCTTTTGCTGACATTTTCTGTCTGTTAATTAAGTTTTGCTGAACTTTAAAAATGGCATTTAAAGACTAGAAGTGCCTTTCTAAGGGGCTCACTCTTTGTCATGATTAAGTTAATGGTCTCAAAAATGAAAAAGTAAAAATCATTTGCTATTAACACATGTGACTAGTAGAGTCAATAAAAAATGTCTTTTACTGATGCTTTTCTTAAGATTAGTAAATGTTGACGGAAAGCGATTGCAACCTTGTTGGTTGAGATTTACAGAAGTCTGTAGGTTTAATTTGCTTTAAGACTGGTACTAAAGCTTTAAGATAGCATTACCTCTAAATCTAGTCAGTTTATCCATCCCAAATAAGCAGGTGATTTAAAAACAAAACCAAAAATGGTTATTGCTGTTCCTCTTTTAGTATTACTGTGTTTTCCAGGTTAGGGAGTTGCCAGTTGTTTGTCCCTCTTACTTCAAACAATGGATGGAATTCTTAAAGGCTCTGGCCTTTACAACCTGAAATCCATGCCTTTTTTTAAAATTGTTTAACCTAAGCTCCAGACAGTCCACACATGCAAGCATGGAGATAGCTGTATGTGCTTTAAAATTGACACATTGATTTAAGGGTCAGGAATATGGAAGCAATTCAGGGATGCCTTCAGGTGCTGGCAGTGGTCTTGTCCCTTTACCCACACTTTAGACCATACTTAATATGCTAGCATCTGACTTTGAAATCATTTGATTGCCTTGATACAAAGCTGAAGCAACCTAATACATGATCTGCTGAAAGGGAGGGCTATATTAGTGCAGGCTTCCATGTGCTAGCTCTCTCCTGAGAGTGATGGCCCTATGGGGGATTGAATAGCATCTGTGCCACTGATAATAAAACAAAGCAAATGTGTTTATCATAGCAGCCTTCAAGGTGTCTCTTGAACATAATGTAAAGCTTTTTTATAGCACCTTGGGTTTTAGTAGGTCTGTTGTCAAGATCAAATTTTGACATGATACCCATGTCTTTTCCCCAAAAAGTTATTTGGTTTAGGCTCATATATATTGTTCTTCGCTTGTCATCTTTTGCATATACTTACATTTTCTCTTTGTATGGGATACAGTGGCATATAAGGCTTTGACACTTGGAAAAAAAAAAAGTTTCTGAAAAAAATTCAAAGGTATGTTTGTGAGCTGAACTGTGGTACAATCAAGTATTTCTCAGTGGTATTTAGTATGGTATCCTCTGGAGGTCAGCGATCAATAAAAAGAAGTTCCCACTGGTCTCTTGCATCCATGGGTGTATGAGACTTTAACTATAGGAAAGTTTGTCATGTGTTTGAATTACTGGACTGATTGAAGATAACCATGTTCTGTCTCCAACATTGTCACAGACTTTCTGTGACCTCAGATTATTTCTGTTGCATCTGAACAACAGATCAGGTACCCTCTCCAACATTCCCTCAGGAACAGGTCATGTGAAGCTGGGAGACTGGCACATTCCTTTTAGCTCACAAAACGTAGGTCTTGGTTGGGGCACAGGTGGAAAAGATCAAGAAGAGAGGCACGTTTCCAGTCTCAACATTAAGTTCGGATCAAGTCTGTAGTTGGATTTGGGGGCTAGGAAGCACTGCTGGCTGTCACATAGTCCATATCTCTTCCCTGCCTATAAAATAATAGTAGCAATATCTGGGTTTTTTTAATCTTACATACTTTAAAAAAATAGTACTATGTACTGTTTCATGTATTTTTTTAGATATTGAATGCAGAAGTTTGGGTTTTTGTTTGTTTTTTGGGGGGGGGGTAGAGTGAGATGGAAAAGAAAGAGGAGAAAAGGTGGATAAGCCTAGCCCAGTTACAATTATCTTTTTCCAAATATTTCAGCAATAGTTACCACAATGCTAGATGTAATGCCTATGGACACAGTAAATGCCAGAAACCCATTATGTGGCTTTAAACACATAGACCCACTATTTATCTCAACCACCACTATAATGCTTTGCCTTTGTTTATAAAGTAAACTTTTCAGAGTTGAGTTCGGAAATGTTTTCCACAGCAAAAGGCAGTGGATTCCTATGCGAAAGTACTTCCAAGAATTTCAGGTGCTTTTCAGTTTAAAGTAAATAATGATTCTTGACCTAAAATTTAAAAAATGAGAAGATCTTTGTCTTTCCTTCACTGCTTTACTCGCAGAGAAATTCAGGCCAACTTTACATCTAGGAGAAACTCACTTTCATTCATAGTGAACCTTACAGAGACTGAAGCTCTTCTGAACTGTTAGAGTTACTAGAACATGAGATTTTTTTGGTTTATTTGATAAGGTCAAAGTACTGAAAGTTAATTCACTACAGATGTTTTATAGCCTGTCTTGTAAACAGATACTGGGTATTTATACAATAACAGAACATCATCACTTGCAGAAACAGGTATTGCTTCCAAAGTATCTTCCACCTGTTTACTCTCTATAGCTAAATGAGTTATTAATTGTAAGGTGACAATAAAACATTTTTAAAGCATATGTTATTCAGTGATAGAACCCAGAAAGCACATTTTAAATTTTAATGAGCATCCGTAGTAAGAATAGTCTTATTTTCTTACCTATATCAATGACATCCATTTCAAACTGTGCAGATTAGTTGCTTTTAGATTCTGAACATTCTGTCTTGACAAGATGTATTCATTGTGTTGATGCAGGTTTTAGAAATTGCATGTTTTAAAGAGCTATATGTTACTGGATAGTTCATAAAGCATTTCCCAATATATAGACTTAGTTAAGTGAAAAAACTGATCTAGCCATCTACTGCAGAAGAATGGAATAGTCTGGCTTGATTAATTTCCTGCATTAAGAGTTTTTAGACTTGTTAGGGACAGGAGAGGAACATTACCGTGAAGAGATGAATCTTGATCATCTCAAGTTTATGTCTTACCTAAACCCAATTTAATTATTTGTTACTAAAGTGGCAATACATGACATCTGAACTCAGGAAAATTACAAGAGAAAGTGGCTTTACAAGGGGCTACCCAACCCAGGCATGTCTGGCTTGGCAAATCTAAAAGAAGCTGTTCCTAAATGCTCATGAGGATGAGACTGTCCTGAAAGAGGCATAAAATATCCCTAAATCCCAGGAGGTGCCCAATCCATAAGCATGCTCTGCAGCTGTGTGTTGCACACAGTTAACACAGACTGACATGAAGTGTAGTCATCACAGCTACTTTCTCCTACCATTTTTGCTGTTTATTTGGAATAAAGTACCCATGTTAATCACACTGTCTTAGTATTGCTTTGTGGCATAATAATTTTATGGAGATGAAGTTGGAGAGACATGAAAGTGGAGGAATTAGAAAAGGTGATGGTGTACACCAGAGATGGCAAAGGGAGTCAGTAGGGTTGCAGAGGCAGTTTAATTTTCATGGATCACAAGGAAAACTTGCCTGGGATTCAGATACCTTTTTTAAAATGACTTCTGCATGACCCATCAGTCAAAGGTGTTATCGCTTCCATGAATTCAGCTTAGAGATACTCACAATGGAGGATTTATTGTCTTTTCAACTGAAAAGTACATCCTGCTTGATTAAATCTTTAAATTAACCATTTTTCAGTTGATGGTTTACTCTTTTTGAATCTGTTACAATTTCTTAGATTAATTCTGTGCTGTAAAAGTGGTATTGTATTATAGTAGAGGCTTATAAACAAGTTATGAAAATAGTTTGAGGTTGCAAATGAAAGAGATCAGTTGTACTACTTCTTGGTTATGATAACTGAACTCCAGTCAGTCTTGGTTCTGTTTCTGGGAATTCCCTCCTCTTGAATATTTCAACTAATGTTGAGAATATTGCTATTATTTACCAATTTGAGAATCTGCTTTACAAGGAGAAGATGATGCTATTTCAGGGAACTGTGGGTTCCTAGCTGTTCATACTGACTTCCAAGTTCATTGGCATGTGAACTGCTCATTTATCTTTCTTTTTTTTTTCACATGCTGATAGCACATTAAGTAAAAACACTGAATTGCAAGGAAATTTGTACCTTTATCTGACTTCATGGAGCATCTTGTGTTGTAGCTGATAAACATATAACCCCACTTTAACCAAGGTAAAACCCCCCATCTTTTGTAGGATAATTTAATATTCAGTAAAATAAAATGATCTTTGGGATTTCAATGGGTTTTAATGGGTGAAGAAGAACTTCAGTTTGTTTCAGAGGGATTTGGAGGTGCTCAGCACTTCAGAAAACCACAGGCCACTGTGGGTGCCTAAATATGAATTCTGAGCCTCCTTATGCACACAGCAAATAGGTGTGGATTTTGGTATACCTCCACAACTGGTGATGATAAGATTACAATGAGGGCTTAGTATAAATGCCCAAAATGCCCAATGGAAATCAATTGGAAAAATCTAATGTTGTCTAGTGAAACAAAGACTTAATCCTAGCTTAAGTGGAGTTTAACAGCAGCATATGAGTATTTTGTGAGACAAGATTCATTTTATGTAAAAGCACTGCTGGCTGTCAGCATCCTGATCTGTATTTGACATTTGCACATGCAATATGCTGTTCAGAAATTTCATAAGCTTGTGTGGGTAATCTTTGCAAAGATACGTAACTAAGTTGTAAATGGGGGATTAGACAGGTGCTATGATACCACACATGAACTGTTCAGGATAGAACAGTGCAGCAGTGAACGAAAGCCAGATCCCTTGCTTCAAGGCCTGTCTTCAATTCTGATTAAATCATGGTGAAATTTAGCATGATGTTCTCCATAATGGGCAGTGGTTTGTATCACAGCTTCCAGTTGGGCAGTGTTAGTGACTTGGCATCAGGTGAGGCCCCTGAGGTGCACTGGTGTGGGCACAGCTAGAAGCAGGTGCTCACTCTGCCTGACTTGGTACTGTTAACATTTGTGTCTGTTAGCAAACGCTGCATTTATAATCCCAAAGGTTTTCAAAGGGTCTAATAGTTACTATTCTTTTTTTTTTTTCTTTCAGTATTAGTAAAAGTTTGCTGTTTTGTGCTTTCAAATTAATAGAAAGTCACTTTCTTTGATTTCAGTACTAAGCGCTTGTGTTAAATTTTAATCTGTACACATTTAAACTAGAATGTGCTAAAACTTTTTACAGCATACTTGTTTATAATTTATAGGACAGAGGTTTTGAGTATTTGTTAGCCTGAGTGCTTATTTGAATGATTATTTTAACGAAATACTTATTTTAGACATTACAGTGGTTAATAGCTTCAGTAGTAGCTTCAGATCCCAGGTAGCTACGTGTCAGTCAGGTTCCCTGTTTAGCAGGTATATGGCATACCTGCACGACCTCTTGTAATTAATTTTTGTGCATGCTGAGATTTTACTTTCAATTTTGGTTTTGGTCGCCAAATGTCTGTCACAAGAAAGAAGCTTGCAGTCTTCCCTATCATCATGTGTCATTATTCCAAGCCTCGTTCTGCCCCAACCCTGCTGTTTTTAAGAGCTCTGCCCAGGAGTGTTTCAGAGATTTTAAAACCTGCCGTATTTACAGCACTTTTGACTTATCCATATTTGCTACACTTTGCTTTGCACTGACGTAGTAGACACCTTTGCTAGAACCATGTTTTTAAATTGCTGTCTTTTAATCCAAGTTATTTATGAGAAGTAACTGCAGGAAGCATTCTGCCTGTGGATGACCGAGACCTGCTTTCTGTGTCGTGCTCCGCAGCAGAGCCAGCTGGTGGGCAGCAGCAGTAGTAGAAGGGTGGCTTCACAACAGATCTGTGACAGGTAATTTTACTCATGTTCAGGAAGACAGATTGCAGTTTCTGTGGTGACTTTTTGTCAAAACATTTTAAACTCTTTATCTTCCACTGTAATGATTTTAGCAAGCAGTCACATCATATTTTTACGTACAGGTTTTTGGTTTTTTTCTTTACCTTTACACTTGTTAAGGCAAAATCCAGGGTTTCAAGTGCACAGTACGAACAATGTCAATCATTTATTGTACTGATAGGCAGATTCGCTGTTCCTTCACTTAATGTACACAATTGTATTTCACATAGCATGGAGAAAAAAGGAGAGCAAGCAGGTGAGAAGCTAAATCACTGTGCATGGAGTGGGAGTAAAGCGGTGAGAATGAGCTAGCTTAATTTTACTTTTTTTGTGTGTGTTTTTTTCAGCAAGATCCCATCTGGCACCACCTACTCCTTAACTATCCAAGGCTCAGACTGGAGAGAGCCCAAGGTCATTAGGCCATTCCTGAAATTGTATTTAGTTGCCTGAGTTTACCTGAGGAATTCAAGGATTCATTTCAGTGGAAATTCAGTGACTGTAATCTTGAAGGATCTGAGCCTCATTGAGACACATTTCAAATAAAATGCATTTGCTTCTGCTTGTTAAATAAGACACAGAGACATATCTGACAACTTGTATATAGCTCATCTGCTAACCTGGAATTGTGTCTCAAACAGTTGTATGTGGAGGCAATATAGGCTTATTGGCTTTAAGACACAGCAGAGTTTCCTTCCTACACCAGTACATACTGGGAGCAATGCCTAGACATTCAGTTGTTTGGCATAAAGCCAGTGCAAAGTAAGAAGGAAGCCAGGCCAAAAAAAAAAAAGATGCAAGAAGATAGGGCTGTTTCCATAGTATAGTTCCCATTTAAACAATACCTCTCTAGCATAATAAAAAGCAGAGCCCACCATGTAAGCAAAATTACTAAAGTGGTATAAAATCTATACTAGATCTTTTGCTTCACTTAGTGTTAAATTTTAATACTGTTATTATAGATTAGCAATTCACTGTAAGATCCAAGGAGGCACATTTTCTTTTAAACAGTTTAGTCTTTTAAAGGGTACAGAAAAAAGAATCCAGGAGATAGACAAACTAGACACCAACAATCTTAGGATATTAAATTTAATTATAGATTACACAGAATATGATGTAAAAACAGCAATTTACTAGAATAATTATAACCTGCAAAATGTGAAAATAGTTTAGAAAATGGATTGTCATATTCTCTGACACAGCAATAGTCATGAAAGGTACACTTATAATATCATGTGTTAATCTGTGTATTAACTATACTACCTGTCATTTAGCCAGGATTCCAAGACAGATTAAAGGCAGTTATTTCTGAAGTGCCTATGTTTAAATTCAGTAAAGTTAAACAGCTAGATTGAAAACACTATTTTGTCAACTACTGCATGGAGATCTATCCCAGATAAATGCTTTGTCTATATACTATGAGTTCGTAATGAGAAGAGTAATTGAAAAACTGCAGAGAGCACAGACCTGTAAGTGGGTGGTTTGACGACTGAAAATATTTCTTAGTGCCTTGGTGAATTTTGGAAATCAGACATGCCAGTGTCCCCTTCCTATTTCAGACCTAGATCATACTTAATCTGAATTCATCTTTTGCATTTAAAAAAGACCATTTAGTTGTTATGGGGAAAGATATCTGTAGACCTTTTTGTTATGTAGTTCAGCAAGAAATGTTATGTGTCAAAGGATATGATGACCACAACAATGTCAGCAGGTTTCATTTTTTTCAGCTGTGTTTATGAAAGCAAAAAAACCCAAACAAAACCAAAACCAACCCCAACATATTTTAGTTTCTTTTTGAATATACAGACTGGCCCAAACATAGACATTCTCTTTATCAATCTTATTGTTACAAAAACTGTACATTACAAACAGTATAGAAACATACTGAAAGGAATGTGCCACACATCCTGGCTAATTTTCTATATGCAGTTTAAAAATACAGCCTACTCCCTTATAGTGCACAGTTATTGTGTAGATAGAGTACATCACTAGTTAAGTGGACATGATAGAAGAGTTCTAGTTTTCCTCAGCACAGAGAATAAGAGCCAGTTCTGCTCGGTAAAGCTTTCCTCCATCAGACAAGGCCATGATGCTTTTCTTGTATGTTGCAAGGTTGTTAATGTCTAATTCCTATTTAGAGAACAGATAAGGCTTTATAATCCTGTTAAGTTACCAGCATCAACAAGTTTTTGTATCCAATGGCAAAAAATGGAAGAAAAAAAAAATATTCTCAGCCTGTCCAACAGTAATACATTGCAGATGTTGTTAAATGTTGTTCATGTATGTTATCCATATTACAGCATATGTTAGATTGCTGATAGCTGATGTCTCAGAAGCAAGCTTGTGACAGTCTTGCTATGTCATCACAACTCCCCTAGTTAAGGATTTACAGTGCTATGACTTCTGCCAAGATTTTGACTTTACAAGTTATGAGTTAGGTCTATATTTATCTTAATAGGGTGGTTTAAAGTATCCTTAAAATCCAAATTAAATCTGATCTCTGAGGGGAAAAAAACCCTCTAGGATTACCTTTTTGTTCTTTTCACAGAGGTCCTTCAGTAGTGCATCAAGTTCATGTTCATCTATATAGCCATTGCCATCCTGAAAAATAACATTAAAGATAAATTTAACGATTTATTTTTCATTTCAGAGGTTATGGCTAGTTTTCCACAAATTCAGAAAATAAGTGCCATCAAACTATGCAATTAATAAAAAAGGTTTTTTTAAGACTTACTTGATCATACATCTCAAAGGCTTTATTGAATTCTTTTGCACACATTTTGACACCCTAAATGCCAGATGGAAAGAAAATCCATTAATGAAGGCAGTTATGTATGGTGGTAACAGGTTACCTAAGAATGTGAATATTCATACCTGAAATTTAATAAGAAAATTTTCCTGGACAGGGAGTAATCTTTGGAGAGAAAAAACAAAGTTCAGAATAATTAACTGTTTCCATAACAGTGATTGCTACATGATGTTTGTTGTGAAAAGAGACAGAAGACATACCTGGCCAATTCAGTAAGCTCCAACTTTCCATCATTGTTTGCATCAAACATCCTGAGCTGAAAGAATATATAATTTTACATTACTAATCAAAATCAACATAATGAAGAAAACACTTTGGGAAACTTAAATTCAATGAAATTTAGCCTTTAATTCATGCTGAAATGATGGCCCCAGGTTTTAATCTGTCACATTTGCTGTGTAATACATTTATTTAAAGTACTGAAGAAGTAATTTATAGTAATTAATTCTACTGAAAAATCCTGATGAGAAACCGATGAACAATTCTGATGAACCTGCTGTAAGACAGGTCTTAATCTGCCTACATTGATGAATGTCCTATATGAGAAGCATGCATGTATTTATAAATGAGAGGAGAGTTGACATGGTAACATTTTACTTTTGACTTCATGTCATGATCTGATAATAGCATCATCATTCTCTGTTCATAAAGGTGAAACAACAGTCGGGTAAAGTTCAGCATAATCCAAGGCATTCAGTTCCTTAGAAAATAATCGACATTTCATTCATTTGGCTGCTAGGTATAAATATTTAAGTAAAGATCACATTCTGTTTCTGTGATACATATGTCAAGAAAAGAGTGAACAGATGCTGTAGATGATCACATTTTGTTGATGGTATGAAAATGGAAAATTAAATCTCTCCAAATAAGATTATAGGAATAAATACATTAACATAATTTGACAAAATGAGTGAGTATTATTTCTAATAATTTATAATCACACTATTGTATTAAAGTGTTTTCCTTTGAAGCCTTGAAAGCATGAGTTTATGCTGCTTGAGAGATGCAAACAGCTTATATTTGTTAATAGAGGTAGACAGAGATATTGCACCTGCATGGAACTTCCTCTCCCAGTTTTTAGGTATGTATAGTTCCATTTCTCCACTTTCAAGTATTATTTTGCCTTTGCTATATAAGAGTCGCAAAAGCAACAAACTGTGTGAAACATTGTTAGACATTATACTGAAAGCACCACCACCCACACACCATCCCATCACTTTCAATCACAGTAATTTTATATGTAGTTTTTCAATAAGAGGAAAAGTGGCATCCTGTACTGAGGTAAGTGTATACCCTTTTAAAGATAGAATTAATGCCGTGACAAAAGACCTAATTTCACTTGGTTAATACACAATAAATGGTAAAGGAGACCAGAAAAAGAGACCAATTCTATAAACATTTATTTCTACATAACACCCTGGTTCATTTTAACACTTCCTTTCCTTGTATGAAAGCATCTGCCTTGCATGCATTTCCCATGAAAGGATATTTGCATTTGGGGGAGGTAAGCAGTGGCAGCTGTGAAGTCAACATATTTTGTATTTTAATGGGTGGTTAGTGGCTGGCTGTGGCTGCCTGCAGCTGCTCAGGACTGTAAATTTTCTATTAGTCTCTTCTAGTTTCTGAGGAGATTATGGGAGAGCTAGATGTGTTTTTTTCTTACTGCTGTTAATTTTTTGTCACTGTGTCTCTCTGCAGAGGCCAGAATTTAGAGCACACTTTAAGACGGAGGTCAAAAAGCTTCCTGCGTGAAAAGATACATGTTATCTTCGCCAGTGAAAAAACAATTGCAATTCTATGTAAATGGTTTATACTGGTACAATAAACCAGCAGACTTTTTCCAGGAGAAACACAAGTTTTGGTCAGCCATCCTCAGGTCAGTTGAAGGCTAATGTGTTTACCTAGCACACTTTTGATCACTGAAAATATATTAGGATGAAACCAAGCTGGTAAAAGAAACAATGTAGTTTTACACATTTCCTGAAGGTAAGAATTCTGAGTCTTTTTTTTTTTTTTTTTTTTTTTCTCCTTGAAATGTCCATTCAGAAGCCAGTGCTGATCCTTACCTTGTAGCACCATAGTGGTGGGATGGAAGGAGTGCCCCCAAGAACAGGCTGATTTAAGGCCAGGGAAGTGACAGTTTAGTGTTTATCTAAAACATCTATTTCTCTTTCTTGAAGCAGGGGAGAAGGAAAGGGTGAGATATTTGTAAATATGGTAAGAACCCACCATGCAGTGATGGCTTTTAAGACAAAAGATAGACACTGCAGCACTGTAAGAAGGCAAAACATATAAAGTAACCCCAAACTAATTTGATCTAAACATAATAATATAATTACGCCAGGTGCATTTTTTTTTTCCTATGAACTGTGAAGACTTCAGTTTTACAATTAATGGCACAGGGAAGCAGAACAGGTGAAAATATTATGGTATGGTCTAATAGTATACAATATATATAATGCCAAGAAAATTCAAAATTCCTGAGCTTTTTTTTTTTTTTTTTTTGAGCAGCACTGTAAACTGCCCATGAAAGCTCTATAGCTGCAGAAGTACTTGCAGTGCTAGATGCCACGGTTGTGTCTCTCTTGCAGTGACATAGTTAGCCTGATTAGGACCTGGTGGGGCTCCAAGTCATTTGGAGCCTTCCAGTGCCTAAAGATAAACAGAGTCTGATTAATCCAGTCTTGATGAAATATGCCTGTAAATAATCTTACCATTATTTCTGTGTATTCTGTTAGCTTTGAATCTTCAATCTGCTTATTTGCTTTCTGTAATAAATCTTTCAAGAAGCTCTGTTAAAATAATAGAAGAGTAATAGGTGAATCTACAGTATAAAATGCTTGACTTGCTAACTTCAGATTAAAAAATGGGAAATACTGGTTTACTCCCACTTTAGTATTTACTGCTGAAGTTCCAAATAAGTATGAAAAGAAGCACTAATTAACATCTAAGAATATAACAGTTTCTTTTGATCAATTCAAGTATACTGCACGGTTTTATTTGGAAAAAGTGACTCATAAAACTTTCTGCATTGTATGTCATTTGTTGTATTGTGAATTTGGAAAAAATAATTTGGCTTTCAAGTATACGGGTTCCTAATCAGCTCTATCAGTAAACTAAACTAATTAACCTTGAGTGTCCTTGAAAACTTGGATGCCTAATCACTTCTTGCAGCATAGGAACAATTTTACAGAAAAGTTCAATGATTAATCAAGTTTTCTCCTTGCCTATGGCAGTACCTGACGCTAGAAGTGAACATTAACCTACATGGCGCCTTCTTACCTTGTATTTTAAATGTTTGCAGCTAGTTTAATTCATTTTTTTTTAATGAGAACTTGATATAGTGTCATATGACTTGAAACACCATTAAAAAATAAGATTGTTTCTACCCATTCAGTGGCTTAAATTTCTGCATTAGATCTGCAACATTAAAAAAGAAAGATATCAATTTATTGATGAAGGGTATTACAATATCTGAGATGTCTGTATGCCTGTCAATGCTCAATTAAGTACCTAATCACTTTTATTATCTTTGTGAAAATTGGGGCCACATTTCAAGATGGAAGATGGGGTGGCTCATCGGAAAATCTATTTGTACATAGATGACATTCTTGAATTTGAATGCAACCATGTCAATAGCCATGTGACTAATACCCACTACAGTTCTTCTACTGTATCCCCCTCCAAGCTGGAGGGCCTTCCTGGTAGCTTGTAGACAAAGAACATGACTGACATGTCCTAAATTGATGTTACAGAGACATGTTTAATCTTCTGTGCTCTAATGGAAAGTAGAACTGGAAAGGACGTTGAAAGGTTATCCAGTCTGTCTCCATGTCTCAAGAAAGGATCAGCTATATCTAAACTTCCTAAGTTACTGCCTGATCTGAGCTACTGCCAAACCTTTCCTAAATACAGGCAGCGATGGAGAATCTGCCTCCCCCTTAGACAACACTGCTGTTACTATTGTTAGAAAGTTTTCCTGATTTCCAGCTTAAATTTCTCTTATAAAGTTGTAAGTGGGTGTACTCCTCACATAGCAAATACTTTAAATGTTTGGGCTTGTCAAGAAATACTGCTCTAAAAATGATATGGGACATTTATGTTTTATTTTCAATATGTTAAAATGGCCTGTTTCTCTGAGGTGGACAAAATCTTGCAGCACAGGAGAGATGGGACCATTAGGGATCCAGTTAAAATGTCTTCATTCTTCAGCTGGTTCTCAATCAGCCCTGCCATTTTAAGTCTATTTTAAATTGCAGCTGGCAACAGTCATCCTTAAGGCATCGTTTAACAGCTGGATAGTTCTCAAGTGCTATGTGTGTGGCCTCCTCCTGTCTGTTTGAGGGTTACCTTGAGGTAAGATCCTTGGCAAATGTCACACAGACACCAAACTCAAAGAGAAAGGTGAAGGGAAAAGGAAAAAAAATGTGAATTGTCTGATGTGGATTACTCATCTGAATAGAAGAGCTGTAAAGATTTGAGACAGTTTGATGTCCTGGTAGTTTAGTTAATAAAGCTTATGTAGTTTTTCTTTAGAATACCACATACAGGCAAAATACTCCAAATTAGACGGATGCTAGATCTTTCTCTTGCTATGAATTGTTTTGATTCCTCTGAATTTAAAGCTGCCATAATGTATCAAGTGCAACTGAATTGTGGAAGATGACACCTTTCTACTCAGAGGCTGTTGTATTTGAGCATCTCTCCTTTGAGGAAAGGCTGAGAGAGCTGAGACTGTTCAGCCTGGAGAAGACTCAGGGGGGTCTCATCAACATATATAAATATTCTAGGAACGGCTCAAAGAGGATAGAGCTGGGCTGGTGCCCAGTGACAGGACCAGAGGCAATGGGCACAAGCTGAAACACAGAAGGTTCCCTCTGAACATCAGGAAACACATTTTCACTGTGTGAGGGTGACCAAGCACTGGCAGAGGTTGCCCAGAAAAGTTTGTGGAGTCTTTCATTCTTGGAGATACTCAAAAGCCATCTGGACGCGGTCCTGAGTGTAGGTGGCCCTGCTTGAGCAGGGGGCTTGGACCTCCAGAGGTCCCTTCCAACTACTCTGATTCTGTGTCTCTGTGATTCAGCAACTACAAATTGCTGTTAGTTTTGTGACTAGGGAGGTAAATCACTCTAGTTTTAAGGTTTGTTAACACTGCAGGGCTGAGACAGCTAATGGAATTACCTCATTTCTGCTCTTATTTGTGCATGTTAAAGCTGATACCAAAATCCCACCAAGTTAACCAAGCAGGGGCAGCACAATTCCATTTGTGTTAACCTAACAGTATTACAGTGGAAACTGTAGGATTACATGATACTTAAGTGTAGACGATCTGTCCAGCAGCATAGTGATAAATAGTAGTGATGCCCTTAGAAGAAAAACCAACAAAACAACCCTCCTCCATAATATACCAGAAAAAGAACATAGCTTTCAGAGGCATATCTTACTTTAACCTTTGTTACCTCTAAGTTAAATACCTGCTACCCTGAGTCACTTGAGACAAACATTGATCTGAATTAAAACACGTTTTAAAAAACATTGATCAGATTAGTTTCACTTTAAATAATTTACTGGTGATAAAAACATCAGCTAATCGTATTGCTTTTTGGTCATGTTTGAAATGCAAAAACATGCACAGGTGGGTATCTGAAGAAACAGATAGCAGCACAGGCTGTAATGCAATGCCTGTTCTCATGTGTATACTCATAGATACCAGTTTACCTTAAGTTCCTCAGAATCAATGAAGCCACTGTGGTCACTGTCATATTTTCTCCATGTCTGCAATCAGAACGTGAATGCTTTAATGATATATTTATGGCAAGCAGGTCTTGGATGATTTTACAAAAGGCAACTTTTCATACTGTACCTGCATGAAGTCTTCACTTGACTTCAGCTGCTGGCATCTGAAGAACAACAGGAAATTCTCTTCCGTTGGTAATATCTGAGCAAGCTGTTACAGAATTTAAGAAAGATTAAATTTTGATTCTTCATTAGGCCCCCTAAGCCTGTAAAAGAGCATGAAACTTTTTAAAAGAGTATGAAATTCTTTGCGCTCATACTGCCCTATTGTGGCCCCATAGGAAGAAAGCTTTATCCTGTTAGCTGGACGGTTTGGAAAATGCCTCTGAAAGGCTTCTGGCTTGCAGCTTTGCCATATTCATCAAGGTCAGAGCTGAAGTGTGAGAGAAGGAAGTGAGACAGCATTTTACCGAAGGGGTAGCTGGGGAAAGAGGGGAAAAAATTCACCCATAAAGAGTTAGAATCTGTGGTGAAAACCTTGGAATTGACACCAAGGAAATGCATAATGCAGGGATGTGTAGAGGATGTGTGAAGGACCATGAATGAAGAAAGTGAGGAAAATAGACTACTCACAGATACTGAGGAAGAGGAAGAAGGGAGAGGAACACTGACATGAAGAACCCGTGTAAAGTAAACAGAAAAATAGATGGAAAATTGGGGAAAGAAGAGAAAGTGGAGAGGGAAAGGGGATGGCAACCGGTGTTCATTTGTCAGGCACAGGGATGTGTTCATGAAGAGCTATAAATATCAGAAATCAAAAGGGCTTTTAGCCCTGCAAAATTAGGGGTGGTTCTTCCAATGCCTCTGCTCTACAAAAGGCTTTTTTAAAATCAGACATTATTGTACTGATTATTGAAAATGTTCATTTACTATAACTCAATTTTGGCAAGTGACAAATCTAGAAGATGGACAGTATGCTGTATAATTTAATGCAAAATCATGATTTGTTTTTAACAAAAGCCCAATATTTTTTTCTGTCCTCAAAATGTATGAAATGTGTTTTGATTAAAGAAAACTTTACTTGAAGAATAGACCAGCTGTGCTTACTAGGAAGAGAAAATGGAGAAAGACAGATTTCTTAGCTGCATTCTTTTATGAAAAATGACATCTGCAGACTTCCTGGGGCCCCATCTTAAAAATTTGATTCAAATTTTTGTTTTTCTGCATTCATTTCACACCCTCAAGTCCTCATTCTGTCTATTTCAGTGCTATTGCCTAACTGTTCTGGCTTTTTTATTGGGTTCCATCAGTGCTGTAGGTGAGTTCAGCTCTCCCTCTCACCCTATGGGCACAACAAGGGTGTGGAGACAGATCTCTCATTTATCTAAAATCAACTGTACAGGGTATCAGTTCTATAATTGTTGACCGAAAAGACACATCATAGCACTCTCTTTACAGTAATGGCACAGCTGATGACAGGCTGTCAGGCCCATCAGAGCATTCTGAGTGCTTTTGCTAAATGGCTGAACACCAAACCCAATCAACTTAAACAATGTGGTTTTGTCAGCAGCTTTCAAAACCTACTCCATTATAAATAGCAGATACACATGTGGGTAAGTACATGTTCATATATACACAATAGATAAATGTGTGTAACTTAGCACTGATTTATGGAAAAAAATTCTTTATATCTCCTATGACAGGGGAGCTTTGATTTTTAGAATAAATCAACATTCCTACTCCACAACAAACGTTGAATGGAAGAACTGATTATGGCAGAGTTTGGGGGAAGGGACGGATTATGACAGTGGAAAAGAGTTTACATGTATGGAAATTATAAATAAAATTTCTTTTGAGGGATCTCTATAGCTAACTGGTGAGATGAAGGGCACTGTAAAATAGTACAAAGTGCAAGGGTAAATGTAAAATAGTAACTTTCCAAAGAATCATCAACAACTTACTAGCAGTACCAAACTGCATTTGAGGTACAGAATATCCTACCTCTGGAAGAAAATTACCTTATTTCAAGCTATACCTCTCACCCTTTGTAAATGTCAGAGGAAAGAACGGGTTTTTACATTACAAGGATGTACTAGCTCAATATCCAATATTAACTCAGGTTTCTGCCAAAATATGTCGTTCATGTTCTCTTGCACCCTTTGGTATTATATAATAGAAACAATATAGCTAAAGAGAAGTCCAGTTCTCCAAGCTCAGGCATCAAACTGCTTTCTGTGGAAAACTGCGTTATTAAGGGATATAGAGTTTGTGTGGAAACTGGCTCAACTTGCCAGTTCCCGCTTATACCACTACAGAGAGGAAAGATGGAAACCTGGTGCTATTTCTAAGGACGACAACTCTGTGAGGTTAAGCATAGGGGGACTCCATGAGCGTGTTTAAATAAGAGTGCAGACTACTAAAAATTTGTGTATGGCAGCAACAACAGTTGCTGTGAGTGTTTCTGTGAGCTCTGCTGCATTTATGGAGAATGTCAGCTATTTCTGCATCATGAGTAACAGAGGACAACCACAAAGCCTGAGTCTGGCTTGACTCCTCTGTGCTTAGTTGTAGGCTGAGCTATACATCTTTATAGGTTATCTAGTAGAAAAAATACTCTCAATACTTAAAACAATATCAGAACTATTTTCTATAAATCATTCTCTACGTAAATTCTGTTGATATTTAATGCTATTTAAAATTTGTTTCACCTAATACAGTGAATTTGCTTTTTAAAATCCTATAATAGAGTATAGGAGTACAAAGAATATTTTAGTCTCATAAGTAGTTGTATTTATGGCAGCAGTAAACTTCAAGTAATTTGAATGTGGAATTACCGCAGTCCTGAGTTTTGAAACCTTGAGTTTCACAGCCACATTTTAGTGAAAGTGTTGGTGTGAATGAGTACAAAAAGTGAATTAAAAGTCCCTTACACAATGACAAGCGTGTGGACAGGTCAGACTCTGCCTTTAGCTGGAGGGCACTGGATAAGCTAGTGAACTAACTGCAGTGTGCTTGCAAAGACAGAATCGACACTTAATCTGAGCTGAAAATCCACTCCATCTGTGAAGCCACCCAGACCTTGTCTTTATCTCAATCAACAGACCTTTTCTGAAAATTTATTATTCACTATGACATTTACCGTCAGATGCTAGGGTATTCATTATGATGGCTGAGACTCTGAATGGCTTTAAATAATTTATTTTTAAACAACATTCATACACTTTTTCAGAAAAAAAAACCACATTTGATGTGCTATGTAAATGCAGCAATCTGGAATTACTGGAAATTTTTATTTATAAGGAAGGAGAATCAAGTCCAGATGCCCACTTTAATATCACACTGCTCTGCATGTACAACACATTTTGTCTGAGTCCCATCAGCACTTTCCAAATCAAGCTTCATGCTGATATAAGTGAAATAAAATATAGCTGTTGGGTTAGGAAACTGCTATATTAAGGGAGAAAGTCCCTTCGGTCACTTAACTGAGTACTGCCACTATTCAATGGCCTCCATGGATGCTGAACATTCTTGGCACTTCACCAGGGGTGGTGAGCACTGCACCATAACAGGCCCTATTGGATTTGTTCACCTCTCACAGAATCATCTAGGTTGGAAAAGACCTTGAAGATCATCCATTCCAGCCATTTACCTAACATTGACAGTTCCCAACTGCACCATATCTCTTTATCCAGAAAGTCAGTAGCAGAATCAGAAACAGAATTTGAAAGGTAAAAACTTTCAGTTATCATTCCTAAGTGAAGAAACACGGTCTTTTCAGGCATTGTCTACACATTTTTCTTTCGTCCAATGCTTACTATTACATATATTCAGAAATACTAAATTAAATAGGATTCTTCAATACCAAATGAATAAGTATGTGTTAGTCCAAAATCAAACAAACGTCCAAATAACAATAGTTCTTTTTAGATGCAGAACTATTTGATCAATAAGTATTGTCAAAAGAAGCATTTTTAAAAATCAATTATAGCTGCAAGTGAAGCAAACTGTTCAGATTTCCATGGTAGTTCAGTTGTAATTACATGTGCATTTAAACAAGTATATGAATTCATACATATGACAGAGGAGAAAAGATACCTTGAAATGATCTATTATATCAGCAGTGATACTTCCTATTAACTTTTACAGATTCTATTCAGTCCTCTAATTTAAAATTAACTACTGACCCAAGTTGGTCACTATAAATTTTTTCAGACCTGGCTTGTTTCCAGCTGTCTCTCAATTAGTGCTCTAGGTCAGATTTCCTATTATAAAAAAAAAATAACAACCAACCAAACAAAAACCAACAAACCAAACAACCCAAAAAACAAAACCCAGAAAACAAAAAACAAACAAAACAAAACAAAACACAAAATAGCATTTAATAATAAAACCACAGTCTCACTGCACTCAGAGTGACATAAATGAGTTGTAGATTTAGGCCTGAAAAAGTGAATTCTCAAGCTGTAACCCAGCAAACTCTCCTTTTTGACTTGCAGCACAGAAGAGTGAAAGTGAGAGAAAACACATTAGTTCCCCCTTCCTAGCAGGCTGTCTAAATTACACAGCTGTTGAGCAGCTGTATGTATAGAAGGGATTGGTTATTATCTTTGTCCTCTTTAGAAAGTAGGAGTAAGGAATAGGGGAATTTTCTTCCTGCAGTTCTGTTAAAGTTCAGAAAAGAAATACATAAGAAATCCTGATCTTTCACAAGCTGGATCATAACTACTGTTAAAATTTTGTTTAACATGATTAACCTGCTTTCTTACCACATATGTATTTTTTTTAGAAGAGACTACATACAGTGATTACCCAGTTGTGTTCGCTTGTGTGGCTTGTGTGTTATCCTCACTATAGGAGTGGTGATAGAGCATTAGTTCAAAATCATAGTTAGAAATAAATCACATTACCTTTCACAGTTTCTAAAACAGAACTCTTACCTGCTTTTCAGGAAAACTAAATTGCTATTGATGCTTATTTGCACTGAATAAAGCATGCAAAGTTAAATGAAATATAGTGAAATGTCCAGAGAGGCCTGAGGAATACCTTACTTTCTGTTAATGAAAAAATTTCATTAGTGAAAAAAATACTAAAGATCTTAAGACAGAGGAAGAAATTTTCTGTGTAACTAAAAATCAAAAATATTTACATAATATGCTCATATTGTTCTGTGCTAAATGTATTTTCCACAAGTAAACATGTCAGTCTTTTTTTATGAAGTAATCATCTTACCTCAACTATTCCTATTTTTCCATCAGTAGTCTTCCCATATTGGTCCACAAAAGCTTTCATTTCAGGTGTTAAATCCTACAGATCATTAAGATACAGAGAAACGTATATAAACTTCTATTTGAATATTCTACTATTTGCCAAATAATATGCTACATTTAACGAAGTACTCATACTTACTGCAGCTAGATTCCTCAAAATTAAATTAAACTGAGGATTTTTTTAAATCATGATTTATGTCATTGTGATAAATTTTACTTCCTAAGGAATTGTAGTCAGTGTGAATGATTGACATCTAAATACTTAGAACTCCTATGTTAGTTTACAGAATGAAAAAATTATAAAGACAGGTGTGTTGGAAGACATGTATAATAGCCCCTTTGTTTAACAGAATGACAGTGGAGTTTATAGGCAATTATTAGTCAATTTTCTCAGTTTTCATTTTTAAATTAGTAACATGAAGGCAGTGCAAAATCTTTCAAAATAAGGAACATTTCAGTATAATACATCTGAACACCAAAATAGCCTTTCCACATCTTTGGGTAGATTTTTCCTGAACAATGGATGCTATTTTAGCCCTAAAAGAACTCATCAAGATATTTTTCACTGTTTAGTATTTGGTTATCATAGAAACAGAGTCAAAATGTCACTGCTGAAATGTAGAGAGGCAGATTTAGGAGGAAGAAGACTTTGAGCAGTACCTTAAATCTGGCAGAGTAAAGCCAGCATAATTGTTCTTCATTACTCTAAATTAGGGTCCCTGCTATACATCTCTAAAGGCTATCCTTGCTGTAGGCTACGGCAAAGGTACCAGCCTTGGGGTGAATATTTAAATACTTGATTTCACACTTCAACTTGACTTGCCTTGCTTTCATACAAGCTGCCATCAACCTTCAGTACTGATTAAACTTTTAACTTTATTTGTATTTCTTATAGGTGTGAGCTAGTAAAACCATGCAGCAAGAATCAGGACTACAATTCTATTAAAACAATTGACAGTTCTGTGGTTATAGATGAAGATAACAGCAGTCTTTGGAAATTAAAGGTTTGATTGCTATAACAGATCTGATTATATAGGACCTACGTGATTCTCTCACTGGAGACACAGGGAATCTCAGCTGTACAAAGTCCGTTGTAGTTTGTCCCAAATTTCAACTACCAAAGCTAACTAAAATGTCAGTTCCTTGTAGCTGATACAATCATGGCCTAGTATCCTATTTCTGTCAAAGTCATCCATGGCGGGTTAGTAATTTGCCATGGCTTTAATTAGAGATGTGATTATTAATACAATGCACTTCAATGTCACCTTTCATCTAATGATCCCAAAGTGGAGACAAGTTTGCTTAGCAGATAAAATGGAGAATATAGACACTTGGATTTTAATTAGTCTTGGTTAAATATTTTACTAATCTTTCTAATAGAAGCTCCGCAGTGCCAGACAGTGCCCAGCCGTTGAAGGAGACACAGCTGATTACAGGTTAAACAAAACAGGATGTTTGTATTCTAGGATGTTATTTAGAAAAGGGAAATTTTTTTTGGTGTTTGTTTCACCTGCTCTTGAGCTGCTTGATGAGTTATTCAAGTTGCTATTCAAATAAATGTTTTCAGTCAAAAAACCTTGTCTAAATTTAGCCAAGTCTGGTTCCAAACTTGATAGAAATGTAGTGCTCAAAGTTTGGAATTAAGAAACTAGCTTTCACAGTGTTCAGTGTTTGAAATGAAGAAGCTAGACCTTCACACCTCAGTGTCCCCTTTTAAAACCTAAGAGACACTTATCCAACCAAGTGGAGTTACAGAAAAAATAGCTTTTTTCAATATGATTTGAAAATGTAAGAATATATGGCACTACAGAAACACTTGCATGACTGTATTGATAAACATTTATTAAATCACATTTTTCTGTGGAGAAATATTGTCATCATCTATATATGCAGAGAAAGTGAGAAACAGATGTGGAATAGCTCATCCAAGATCCACCTATTGGCCCTTTATCAACCTCTGTGTTAGTCACTTACACCCCACAGTTTCTTCTGGAAATTGGCATACCTATATAGAGAACGTATTGATAAATGTGGGTCACAATAAATGGAAGCTATGCTTCTATACTTATACAGCGTTTGCCTTTAAAAAAGAGGCAGATCTTTCAATACGTCTAAAAGTTCAGACATGTTGAAAGATCAGATCAATTCACTGTCTAACATAATGCATGAAGCAAAAAAAATAGCGTTACCAAAGAAAAGCCCAAGTCCTAAAACCTCCAAGTAAACATCCACCCTTTGGGGCTAGCATGAATCAGGCTGCATGCTATTGCTCTATCTGAGAAAAATCAGCAGTGAAAGTACGGGCTTACTGAGTGGATTCATAAAAGGAATAGAATTAGAACATAATTAGAACAGTTCTGTAGTTGAGAAGAATATTGGGAAATGTTAAACCATCCTATTCGATGACAGAATCAATGTGATTCTTTAATGCATATGTCATGACTGATGTAAAATCCAGCAATGAAGAATGCATAATTGAATATTTCAAAAATAGTGAGCAGGAGAGTGACCTGAAATGCAGAAGTTAATGATGACAAAGAAGCTTTGGGGTGTTAAAAGAAGGACAGCTGAGGAAATGACATATAACCTACACTAGATTCTCAATGTGTCCCTTCTGGCAAAAGAATAGAAATTCAAAGCTACTGAATTAGTATCCCGTGAGACAAGACACGAACTAATGAGATGCTTGTTTGGCAAATGAGCCTTCAAATCCAAGAATCAGCTTAGATATGGAACCTAAGATGACATATATCCATACTCCAGAGCCAGTAGATCAAGTACTGAATTTGATGTTGCTACTGTAAAATGCTCTTTTCAGCAGAACACTCCAAAGATAGGTTTGAATCAGAGAAACGGGAAAGGAAAACTTAATTAAACACCTGAGTATTTTTAAAGTACAGTGTGAAATACAGGCAGAGGTTATTAAAAAAAGCATAAATTGTGAAAATTGTAGCAGACATGAATAATTCTGCAAGGCTTTTCTGTTTTACTTTGAGCAGGCTTTGTTTTTAAGAAGAGAGGTACACCTGTGTTGAGAGAGAAAAGAATCTGATCTTAAAATGATAAATAGTTTTTCCTTGAGCTTTGTATTAATTTAACTACTGAATAATATATCAGCATTTCTACTAAGAGTGCCATTCATACTAGATATACACAGACTTTAATATCTTCTTTCTAATGGACATACTTAAGTTTCCTGCACTTCATTATAGAAGAGAGATTTGTTCTGTTGCAATATGTGAAAGGTAGTGAAGTTGTGTTTAATCTTTCCGGGGGGGGGGAAGACGACTTCTCTCTCAGATTTCTGTGGGTTTTTTAGTTGTTATTTTTTTCCTAAACTTTAGTTTAAACTTACTTACACTCAGGAAAATGAGTGCCTACACCAACAGCTCTAGGAAGAATTAACTGGTACCTAGACTGCAGTAACATTACAGGCATTGCTGGGAGACAGATTTTCAGGTGCATGAAGTTTACACTTATACAATTAATAAGAAAATAAATTTTTCCACCAAATAAATTAAGATTCATATTAATTTTTTTTTTCATTTACTTCTAAAATATCCAGCAACTTTTAAAGCAAAGTTAGTTACTGAAAAGCTTTTGTTCACTTTGGAGGTATTCCTATATGAATTATTAATCTATTTCCCCCATACACACATGCCATCCAGTTAAACTATAATTATTTACTTCTGTTACTTCAGAAGCCTTTTAGCTTAGATTCATTTAAATTGATCCCATCAGGTTATATGTTGGAGTTTCATGTTAAGTAGTCTCTTTTAGAAACAATATTTTAAAGGCAATTTGTTTGTTAAAAAGGTTCATTTCTATTTTAATTCAAACCTTTAGATGGAATCTTTAATTTCTTTCTTTTTTTCCTTTCTTTCTCCCCATGGACACAGTTTAGAGGAAAATAATAAATAGTGCTTTAACAGTTCACACACAGAACTGTTTTGACATCGTTGTCAAAAATTTGCCATCTCTCTGAACAATCTAAGCTACCAGGATTTTGTACTCATACTCCTGCTGTATAACACCGGTGAAGGGCAAAAAGTGGTTAACAGTCATCTGCAGATCTATTTAGTGACCACCAAGGGGCAGAAATGCATTTCAGCCCATACTGCCCATTAGGCACGAAATAAAACGGAGTCCAACTAACTTGAAGTGTTGTTTTCTCTGTTGCTTTCTTTTCTTTTCTTTTTAGTATCAGTACGTATCTGGATCAGGTAAGATTAATTGCAATGGGATAAGGTCCCATCCAAGACAAAAAGATAAACGTCCATGCATTTCTTGGCTTTTCTTTTTAAGCACTGTCAGAAGTATCAGCCTGTAGCCTGGCAAGATGTAAGCAGGACCTGCTGTCCAGGGAGGTGGACCCTGGCCTCACCTTTCCAAAGCAGATGATTTATTTCGTTTGTAACTTGCTGATTTATAACCGAGCTACTTCCCTTTGCCTAGTGAGGCAGCTGCCTGAACCATGTGATGGCAACGGAGAACAGAAGGAACTGGGGCACTGGAGTTTGCTCAAGAAAACTCTTTTTTGCCGGAGAAGACGGAAAAGTGGGGTGAAACGTTAACTTACCAAGCCTGCCTTCTTCCGCGCCTGCTGCAGCTCCTGGATGAAGTTTTGTAGCTCCTTCCCGTCCATGTACCCATTGCCTACAACAGAAAGAGTTACGGTTGCAGCCACTGCTCCCTCCAAACTCTCTCCTCTCTCCAGCGCTGGCAGGGACATCTCCGACCCTTCTGCTCCCGCCCGGCACCGACCCCAGCCCCCGACGGCGCCCCGAGGCTGCGGGCCAGCGGGCGCGGAGCGGGCGGGGAGCGGCGGGGTCCCCCCCA